ACATGTGACATCTGAGGACCCCTGGTATATACTTTAATATTGTTTATTGAAATGTTACTGAATTTAAACATTCTCTCTCTCTCTCTCTCTCTCTCTCTCTCTCTCTCTCTCTCAGCTGTTCCATTTATCTTTAGGGCATCTCTGAAAGGATGTGCAAGCAAGAGCATCTGTCAGGATTTCAAGTCTATTCTACAACACTTTAACATGGAGGCACATATTAAGTGCTGTAAGGGGAGCCTGTGTAACCGGCTGCTTTGAGCGTTAATCTGAGTCTCATCATGCTGGGATCTCTACTGTCCTCCATCCTCTTCCTCTTAGTTTGTGCTCCTTTCAGGAAACACTGAAACTGGAAGATCAGCTTTAATAGAGATTTTTTTAAAAGCCAACATCACTGCTGTCAGTTTTTTTTCTCTAAATTCATTTCAATCTTGTTAAGCAGTCAGTCTAAAGTGTTGTACAGTAATAAAACCAGTAAACCGTGTAAACACTGGTGCTGTAATCCTGGTCTATAAAGTTCAGTTTAACTGCATTAAACTGTGTGAGAGGCTTCCTGTCTTCCAAAATAAACAAATAAATAAAAAGAATCTGTGTCTGTGTGTCTGTCCACTTCTGTTTTGAAATCAAAGTCAGATAAAGAACAGAAAAAAAAACACTATTTTTTTTTCCATTTTAATCTCTCAGAACAAAAATGGATTGTTTCTTGTAAAACGTATTTAAATCATGAATTCTCAGCTTTTTTATTTTCTATTTCCCATTTTTCATTCGTAATAGAAACAACCTTTAATAGCCGCATCATAGCTGTACTGTGGTGTCACCCAAACAGCCAGCTAAGAAGACTCTGAGCCACGGGTAGAAAATCACTGTCGGCTGCTATCTGGGTGGAATGATGGCAAACTCCTCAGTCAGCAGGGAAGCATCAAAGCCTACACAGTACAGTACAAAACAATACAAAGCAAAACAAATGAAAAAATGTAAAGCGGCAGCCATATTGCGTACTTAGAGTCATATCATCATTAAACATAAAAATGTTTATCTCCTGTTACAGCTGTAATGATTCATCTGAAGTTCTCTCTGTTTTGGTCCTCATCTTTCCCAATGCTGGTGACCTTTGCGTGTGTTGATGAAACGAGTTTTAAAAAGGCCCAGTTCGTATTTTGTCCATCGTATTTTCCCATATTTTGTTAAGAATGGAAAATGAAAAAGCTGAGAATTCATGATTTACATACAACTTAACTTTATTTCAAATTAATGCTGAACTTTTGCTTGGTTCAGTTTAACTTGTAACAAAAGAACTGTTGTGAAAAACTCCCCTACACCTGTAGTTCCTCATACAGTTCAGGTGTATATAAATTTGTTTTGTTTATGTTCCGCAATGCCATGTTTATGATCGAGTAACGTGATTAAACTCATCATGGAATTGCCAAAAGTGGTTGCCAGAACCCAGCCTATTTATAACTGTCATTAGGAGACCACATCTCCACCCAACTACAGGTACAAAAACAGAGGCATTACACTGAAAAATTAAGTCATATTTCATATTCATATTTCATATCTTTATCTTACATAAATGCAGTCTTAAACAATACAGGGTGTTCTTTTGGCTCAGCTTCCCAAAAGACCATGGCCTGCACAGTGCCACCAGGGTCAGGCTACTGGGAGGGCATGTGTTTCCTCCTTTTGGCCACCTGTAGCTGGGGACCCTTGGCATTGAGGGGATTTGAACTGACAGTCACCTGATTACAGGGCAATGTTCAACAGGTTGCACAACCCTGGATTTCCTGCTACTACGGTTTCACTTCTGTGTTTCGTGACTGAGCTCAGGAAGGCACTGGCAGCCTTGCCACAGGTGGTCCAGATCTGTGTTAGGACATGTTGGCCAGATGAGCATTTTTCATTTGGACCACTTTTGCCAGTGCCCACAGGGCATGAGGGGGGTCAGTACCATATCTTTGCCAGAAGTGGCCAACATCTACATGCTATCTGAGAAGTGTGGCATCATGCTAATCCCCAAAGAAAATAACAGCTGGAATGCCTAGTGTTTGGACAGTGATAGGTGTGCCTGTGTAGTATGTATGTGCACACACAGAAAGCTGGCCACAACATAATATAGGGAGACTGACCAAAGAACAGTAGAGTTATTCATATTATTACTGTGAAAGCGCTTATCTAAGGTAAACAGGGACTTTAACATCACCTGCAGCTGCATAAGCATACAGTGTTACATGTTTCAAATGTTTAAAATTGGTGCAATTTCACTACATTCTTTTGTTCATTTTATTGTTTTCACTTTTTGACTGTCACAACAGTCGTATGATACAATGCATGCTGGGTATTGTAGTGAGAGGACAAAAAAAAATGCACAATTTACAGAATTGTGACTTCTTTTAAAAGGATGAGGCTGAGGGATGCAGTGATTTGCTACAGAATCCTACATTACATAACAACATATTAAATGAGACCAGAATGCTCCTTTCAGGTAACTGTGGCACTATTCTATATGTGTTGATAACATAAATCATAGAGGATTTGAAGAGAGTGAAACAGCTATGAAAAGTACATTTTTAATTCATTAAGGTACAAACAATGTAAATGTACCCACAAAAGCAAAACAGTGCTTTTAAGGTCTAACTGTGTACCTTAAGTGAGTTTTTCCCATGGAAAAGTTATATAATTGTACCTTTTCATAATCTAAAGTTTTAAAATAGAAACAATACAATGAAAAGGCTGGACATGAGCCGGGGTGCATGGAGTCAATGCAACTTAAAACATATAACTGCAATTGAATCGGGTACAGTTATGAAGATGTACCTTTAAGAGTACCACCTCAGTAACTGTCTAGTACCTTTTTTTCTGTGAGTGTACAGCATTTGCTGTAACTCAGTGTTCAGTGTAGGGATATTGAATTCATTCATGATTAAGAGTCACATTCACTAATGTGTACCTTCATATTGGCTAGATGAGGAATACAGCTTTATAAAGTTCAAGTGTTTGTTAAAATACTGCTTAAATGCTGGTTACATTCCGCCTCTGGTTTGTTCCCTCATTAAACCTTTTACACAACAGCCTACTCTGTTCAAAAGGTGCTCGTCAATAAAGGTCAGTTCCTAAGACAACATCAGCAGCTGTTAGCTGGTTTTAACCAATCAGCAGATGATTTGGTTCAACTGAGCGGCAAGACCAGCTTTCACAACTTTAAACTGTCGTGAGGGATTTGTCCACCCGGCTGCAATCGCTCGGCCTGCACCAACCCAAGCCACAACTTACTGCCACTGCTCCTGTGACTGTAGCCCCTTCTGCTCATTTTCTGGTCAGTAAACCCAACAAATGAAGTGGATTTTTACTCCAGTGCTCTGTTTCCTTTAGTAATCCACTCCCCAGCTCTGATCAAGCCAAGATCACCTTTATTGTTTCTAGATTGACTAATAAAGCTTTAGAATGGGCCACTGCCCACTGGAATAGCCCACGGCAGCTGAATTATGCACAGTTTATTAAAGACTTTAGAACTGTTTATCACCCACGAGGGTAGAGCATGTGGGGAAGTTATCGAAAATGGTCCGATAAAAAACCATTCTCTCATGGTCAGATTATTGCTACTCTCACCTGTGTCTGAAGTTCCCATCTAGTAATATCAGTTCTACTTCTGTTGAGAGTCCTGAAGTTCATGCTGAGCTTAATGTTCCTGAAGTGTATTCTAATCTATTAGAGGTTTTCAGTAAGGCTAAGGCTACCCAGTTACACCCTCATCGTGAATATGATTGCACCATTGATCTGGTAGAGGGCACAACCCTTCCTAAATCCCGAGTATAGCCACTCTCTCAGGAGGAAGAAAAGGCCATGGAGAGCTATATTACTGAGGCTTTAGAACAGGGCTTTATTCGGCCTTCAGCTTCTCCTGCTACTTCTGGCCTTTTCTTTAATAAGAAAGAGAGAATAGAGAGTTATGACCTTCCATTTACTACAGGGGTCTTAATGATATCACGAAGAAGTGCCCTTACCCTTTCCCACTCATACCCGTAGCTCTATAACAATTACATGGGGCCAACATTCTCACAAAATTAGATCTCTGAAGTCCCTATAACTTGGTCAGAGTTAAAGAGGGGACTAGTAGATGACTGCCTTCGTCACTGCTGGGGGCACTATGAGTACACAGTAATGCCTTTTGACCTGGCCAACACTCCTGTGTTTCAGTCCTTTATCAATGATATTGAGAGACATGATTGGACACTTTGTTCAGTGTATATAAGTGTCTTCAGTTTGAGAAATAAGTAATGGTTCACTATGTCCACCAATCTCCTGGGAAATTGGACAAGATTTCAGATTTATAAATACCTAGTAACATTTTGTAGAGTTTTTCAGAGGCATCCCAGGCATAGTTACAGTTGCTAGACTATGAAAGACTAACAGTGATCCAGTTTGCCACAGCACGACCCTGAGGCAAAGCAGTGCTGCACCTCCAGTCAGTTAAGAATATTAAAGACAAGTTCCTTGTTCATGATTGAAACAGCTAAATAATGAGTTTCCCTATATTTGTATTTAAGTGTCTATTTTTACCTAACAGACAGCAAAATGTCATAAGTTGATTTTCAGGGACTCCTGAGAACTGATTGAGACATTCAGGGGATCCAAGAGGTTAAATACAGGACCCCCTGTATTCACACCTTGCTTTTAACACCACAAATGCATAGTAAAATCATGCTTCCAATGGACTCATAATTGTTTTAATGAGAACACCAGGGGTCTCTACATATTTGCTGTACCCCTATGGTTAATTGTGTGGCTATGATAAATGTTGTGCATATAGATGTCAGTACATTTTGTATAATTGTATTCTGTGAAATACAACTGTGGGCCCTGAGCAACACCATACAAGTTGTTTCTTGTTCAAATGCAATCATACAGTATCATATTGGACTTTCTTAAAAGCATCTCAAGACCTTTTCCATTTACTGTTAGACTGAGATCTTGTAGAGTGCATAACTCAAAAAAGACAGGAGACGATTAAACTAATATTTCATTTTTTATTTAATTTGATTTTTGCTGTAAAACACAATTCACATGAGAAATATGATTGCTCTGCTGAGACCATTTAGGGACATTAAAGTCTGGAGGATACTTTGAGAAGAGATGGGGAACCACACTGGTCCTCAGCTGGATGTCTTGATACTCTTGAGATCCACTGCGACAGTGTAAAGGGTCCAGCACCAATAATATTTCACTGGGAATAAGAAAAAGTAAGCCGTTAGTTTTGAGCTCCACATTTGGATGAAAAAAAAAAAAAATTACTCACTGGTCATTAAACAATGATTCATAACAAGTAACCTGGATAGAATGTAACCAGGTTCAGAGCACTGACCAGACAAATGTCACATATGCTAATTGCAGTGGTGCAAAATTAGGGGAGGCAACATTTGCACTGCTAAATATAGCCCCCCCCTTCACTTGTCAGATCAAATTTGCACCCCTTTTTGTTTGTATGTTTGAAGGAATCACTGTATCTTACCAACCTGTGTACTAGATTTTTTCCTCCTTGTACTCGGCGGTGATGGAGTGGCCAGATTCGCACCTGTACTCTCCAAACTCCACGCTGAGGTGAGAACCTGTCCTGATGGTCAGCTTGACCGGAACCTTTACATCCACTTCTTTCCTCAACACATTCACAGTGAGCTTGGTGTGGGGAGCTATTTTGGTGGGCAGGGAGATTCGGATACTCTTCCTCTCGGTTCTGGTGTTGCTGCTGCCTCTCTGCACATTGAGGGTATTACTGAAGGAGAAATTCTGCTGTGCCTTTATGAATCCTACATCTACACTAAAGGATGTTCCCCAGGTGATCTGTGTAGAACTGCTAAAGCTGAAGGTGTCAGTGATGGAGCCTGTGTACTCTCTGTACAGCTCAGTGGAGAAGCTTTGCTCGTGTTCTCCATAGTTCAGACCGCATATGGAGTCGATCATAACTGATTTGACACGTTCTTCTTTCTTGTCCCAGAGGACCTCTGATTTTATGATGGATCTGCCAGGCTTCAGAGGGCGCACATGAGACACTTTGTCATTGAACCAGTCATATACAGGAACATCACGAGAAGCCCTGGCCACCATCTGAGCTCCACCTCTGTCACTGTCTTCATAAAGGACCCACGCTCCTCTCTGCACCTTGTGAGAAGATGCCATGTCGTGGAAAGAGCCAAACGCCAGGTTGGTCTCAGTGGTGAGAACGATGGACCTTCCTCTGTAGTTATCATCTTCATAAAGTGTGATCTGAGGGTTCATCAGGTCCTCCGTCACCACCTCTAGTGAAGAAAAGCCGTCATTGCACTCCACGGTGGCATAATCGCCCTCCTCATAGACAAACTGAGACCCGCTGAAATTGCTGTCTGAGTACGCCACCCATGGATCCCCGATCACCTTCAGAGAGGAGATGCAGTCATTAAGGTTCTCATTTACTAAATCAGAAACAGAAGAGGTGAACTCTCTGCTCATGCCCTCAAAGTTGGCATGCTCGTAAACAATAATCTTGCTCATGGTGTCGCCTCTGAAGTCAGCGCAGATGGAGATGTGACTAAGTCTGGGAAGAGCTTGCAGAACTTCTGCTTTATATAGCCTTTCATGGTAGGAAAGGAAATTGAGGGCGTGCCGATTCTAAGTGCTTACCAATCTCAGTTGCACTCCGAGTGAGCCTGTGCACTCACCTGAAAACTTCACATTGTTTCCAACAATAAATTTTGCTCTGGCCAAAGTGCACATGCGCACACTAAGTCCTCTGGTGGCAGATTTAAATGAGTTTAAGGGGCCATCAGAATTTCTTGCCATTCTTGAGACATCGGCTTCAATAGGCTTAATGTGCTGCTTCTCCTGTTATGTAGTTTTCCATAACACAGCATTGTATTTCAGAACCAGAGCATTCTTCTATATATTTTACAGATTTCTATCATTGCTATCAAAGCTGGCATGTGCTCCAAGCAAAATGATGACGGCATGTTCCCAAAACTTTCCTGTGGATGAAGAAAATGTTTTCCGCATCCATTGCAATCTGACACTGTACCAAGCTATCACCCTATCAGCATTACCCTAAAGCAAAAAAGGAAACATCATGGTTGTGTAAATTGCAGGAGCATCCAATCAGGAGTTTTCTTATTAGATTATGCTCAGGGGAAAATGGGCTGTAGTTACAAGTATTCAAAGTATTCAACACGTCACCTCAGTGTGATTGCTGCCATTAAGTTTGCTTTTTTGGCAAGAGTTGTGCTGAGGAAGCAGATTTCATTTATATGCAACTACTTGACACATTTTAGTCATGTAAATTCAAAGCGCCATTTTTTTCAGTGTAGGGCAAACATTCAGAGATGAAGACACCACATTGACTTTCACACCCGGTACCGGCCCAGTTCAGCTCCAGGCCTGCCCTGCTCTGTCTACTCACACTCACACACACTTGTGGCTCATTCTGAAAACACAAAAATGTTTACTTAATTGCAATAATAATAATAATAATAATAATAATAATAATAATAAGTGTATCTGTAATGACAATTATTAACGTTCCACACTGATTTTGCACACATGTATTTCAAAACAGTTGCATCTAACTAGTTATCATATGGCCGTGAGGGACAGGGGTGCAGTCTCACTTCCTGCTCTAAAATGAAAGGGTGTGGCTAAAAGTGATTTTCTAAATATTTAGCTTATTAATGTCTCAATTAATGCCTTGAGTTCAAATGGATCATGAGTTAATTCTTGTAAATACACTACATAGCCAAAAGAATGAGGACAACTCTCCTAACTATTGAGTTCAGGTGTTTCAGCCACATTCATGGCTGATAAGTGTATAAAATTAAGCAAATAGCCTTGCAGTCTCTATAGACAAACACTGGCAGTAGAATGGGTCATACTGAAGAGCTCAGGGCATTAAACATGGCACAGGATGTCACCTTTGCCACTAGTCAGTTTGTGAAATTTCTGTCCTGCCAGATCTGCCCCAGTCAACTGTAAGTGCAATTACTGTGATATGGATGTATCTAGGAGCAACAACAGCTCAACCACACAGCAGTAAACCACACAAACTCACAGAGCGGGGCCATATCCTCTGTTGAAATCACTCACTAAAGAGTTCCAAACTGCCTCTGGAAGCAACATCAGCAAAAGAACTGCATGTCAGGGGATCAGTTTCCACGGCCGAGCAGCTGTACACAAGTATTGGCTGGAGTGGCATAAAGCATGGCACCACTGGACTCTAGAGCAGTGAAACATGTTCTCTGGAGTCTTAAATCATGCTTCACTATCTGGCAGTCTGATGGATCTGGATTTGGCAGATGCCAGAAGAATGCTACCTATTAGAATGCATAAAGTCAACAGTTGGTGGAGGAGGGATGATGGTCTGGGGACTATTTTTCAGACCCCTTAGTTCCAGTGAAGGGTGATGTTAATGCTACAGCACACAAAGACATAGTAGACAATCATATGCTTCCATCTTTGTGGCTACAATTTGGGGAAGAGCCTTTCCTGTTCCAGCCTGAATGTACCACTGTGCACAAAGTGAGCTCCATAAAGACATGGTTTGATGAGTTTGGTGTGGAGGAGCTCCAGTGGCCTGCACAGAACCCTGACCACAACCCCACTGAACACCTTTGGGATGAACCGGACTGTCATTTGCTCATATGGGTGTGTTATATAGGTGTCTACATGCTTTTGGTCAAATAGTGTGGCCAACACTATTTGTTGTGTTGTTGTTTTTTTAAATGCAGTTTGAAGTAAATCAGCAGATTGGTCCAATAAATGTGGCATTTCATGGTACCCTTGACACTTTCACAATGCAGAGCAACACAACCCCTCTTACTGCAATGGAAGGGCAGTTTTATTTACTTGCACAAACTCTGTTTGGACACTTTATAACGGTAAGAGTGTTACTACAGCTCATCAGAACAGGAAATCAAGAAAACGGCTGTTTGAGAGTCAGATGTTATGGACTGATGTGCTTCAAAGTGCAATCAGGATTATTTCACTGTACTACTATAAATGCACTGCCAGTTCAAACTAAAAAAATGCTTAATGTGGTTACAAAACAATTGAACTACTTTTATTCAATCTAAATAACTACTTTGAATGAGCCGTTTTTTCGATGTAAGTTTTTGAGTTGGAAAAAATCTAGTTCAATTGCTTGTTACCACAAGTTTTCAGGCTGAACTGACTTTTACAAATGTTGGATCAGGAGAAGCAAATATGCAACCAACATCTGAGACTGAAACTTTGGTGGTGTGAAATATTTTCTTTGAATTTCTCTGATAATGAAATACATGTACTTAATGGGTTTTTTTACCTTGAACCACTTTACCTTTTACCACTACTTGTGTTTCTTTCTAGCTTGTAAACTATACACTGTAAAGAACGGTTTGTAAGTTTAGCCTAGCAATTTAATTTGTAAAATGTATACTTTGAATTAAACAATGCAAAGCAAAATGAATGTGTTTAAACAGTATTTCAAATAATTCAAACCTCTAAATCACTTCAGATCAGTTTCTGATTTGAAGAGGGACTTGAACTATGAATGGAATGAAAGCTGTGAGATGTGCTTTTTATCAGTATTCAGAACAGTGAAGACCATGGAAGTGATCGAGCAGGAGAAGAACATATTTGGGATATGGTTCTAAATGGTTCTAGCTCATAAAAAATGTTAAACTTTACATGAAATAATAAAAAGCTTTTAGGTGAGAGACTAAATTCATATGAAATTAGTTATCATTATTGTTAACACATTGTAATATGTTGTTTTCCTGCCAATAAAAAGTGACGACTGTTTCAAAATGTTGAGACTTGAAGAAGGAAGAGCTTCCTGGAAGTCCAGCCCCTTTTAGAGTCTTATATGAGACTGTGTTCTTCCTTGTTTTAACACCAACATCTCAGATCCATCCAGTGGTAGAAATGAAAGTGGTTCTGGTGCTCGTCAGTGTGTTCTTCACTAAAGGTACAGAGAACCAAATTTATACCCTCACATTACACTCAGTACTGTCATTTCAGTCAACTTGTTAGATTAAAGCGCAATGATTTTTCAGAATTTCTGCATAATTCAGTGGTTCACAATGTCATTCATAATTCAGTGGTTGGGAAGTCTTTCAGAGAGGTCTGATAAGCAATGATTAATTGTAGAAAAACTTAAAACTCAATTGTCTTTACAGTGGTGGTGATAGGAACCAGGGTCACCATGACTACAAGACAAATATAGCCATTTTATTTACTATTCCAAACCACCAGCGAACCTACACATGTCTTCTGACTTTTTACATGTAATGTTGATGGTAAAATAATGATAAATCTGAAAAAAAAAAAAAATATATTTAATCTTTTTTTTTATATTAGGAGGTGGGTTGACTATAATATGTTATTGTTAACCAAGTACTGAGTGACAATGGCATATATTTGATTTCTTGTCTGCTGTAAACAATGTTTCAGATGATTTCAGGCAACATATCAGGCATGTGCACAGATAGACCCCAGGTACCCTTTTGGCCTCTGACTAAATAAAAGCGCCCTTTTCTCAAGACATTTTACCTTTTTTCTAAATTTATATTTTAGTTTTTAAAGTTGGTCCATGGCATCATTTCTCAATCACAAGCATGCTGTAATGCCCGACAACTTTGAGTTTGAATTCTGAGTTTGAATTCTGCGAGACTGCACAAGCCCCGCCCCCCCTCTCTGACTTGCTTTGTCACAGCACCACAGTTAACGCACGCATTGCAGAGCATCATCCATGTTTCTTTGACCTGCGTTCATTGGTGACAGCCAGGTAAGGACAGTGTTTGCCCTAAGTCTCTGGATTGTTTGTCACTGTTGTAGAATCAAACCGCTGTTAAAACATCAACACAGCCAGCCTAACTTAAGCAATAGCCCAACATTAAGGCTACATTCACATTACAAGCCTTATTGCTCAAATCTGATTTTTTGCCCAGATCTGATCTCTTTAAAATGATGGTTCACATTCGCATATGAAAGTGACTTAAATCTGTCATTAATGTGAACGAACCTGCGTCCTGAAACGACCCACATGTGCACATCCTTATCAATAAAGTCACATGAATTAACCACAACAGTGGTCAGCAACTATGTAGCTGTGCTGGTGACACGGATTTCAGACGTGGATGCAGGAGAGATGGAGGTGCATCATCTTGCCCTCCGAACTTTGCAAAATTCTCTGGCATAAGCAGGAATCTTTGGCGCTTCTTAAATATCTGCGCTTCCGTCATTCTGGATTGGGCGCTGTTGTCATGTTCAGAGTGACATAAAAGACACTTGAAATCTGGTTTGAGTGGCCAGAGCATCCAGACTGAGACACATCTGTAATAATTTGATTGGAATCTGTCCTTTAATATATATATATAAATCTGAATTTAGCTGACTTTACATTAAGCTATTAACTATTAATCACTGAATCATGCATAAGATTTGAAAAATCCTAAGAATGACCTCTTAATGTTCTGCTGGTGAGGACTTGCATTTCTACTGAATCTTATTCAGTGCACACCAGTTGGATTTCTCTGTGTGGTCAGATCTTCATTTCTCACACTGGATTGTCAATGTCTTCTAGCACTAGCACTGCAGTGTTATGAATGTGTCGAGGACTCGCCTCAGACTTGCGAAAGAAGTCAGGAATGTCCAAATGAGTGTACCAGCAACACTGCCACCTTAACCCTGGGTAAGAGTGACTTTTACCACAGATTAAAACTCCTAACAGATGCAAAACTGATATCCACCAAGTCTTATTTTCTTCTGCAGGTGGCGTACAGCTGGCCCAGAGTATGTGGTCTTGCCAACCATCAGTCTTGTGTGTCACGGGGAGAATCAATGCAGGGTTTCTGAAAGCGACCGTCAACTCCAAATGCTGCCAGACTGACCTCTGCAATGACCAAGTAGTACCAGGTATAATCAGTAGCTTCTAAAATAAGAGAGATCATTAATATTAAAATTTGCATCCTATTTTTATGGTATGATATTCATTTGTTTCCAGGGAAAAGTTTGGCAAAAATAAATAAATAAAAATAATAATTCCCCCCCGACACAGTATATTCACAAATACATTATTCTCTGCTGAAATAACACAGCCGTCATGGCCATCAGGTTCACTGTGAAGTAGCTTCACCAAACACCATATATTCACAGTAAACACAGAGCAGGAATTAAGCCAGAGAGTGGTTATTTTTGGTGTTTTGCTGAGCGGCTGTGAGAAAGTAATACAGACATTCCTTTTCCTGAATGATGGTCACATCATTACCACTGCGCCGCTGGGAAGCACAGACGACAATTGGTAAAACACCTCAAGGAACGGGAAGTAAAAAGGCAGGAAAAAGGAAACGCTGAAAGCAGCTTAAACAAAAGGCTGAACTAGAAAATTGAAATAAAAGATAATGAGAAAACAAAAAACACTTAGACTGTAATTAAGAGGGGAAGGCAGACTTTATGTTTCACTCGTTTGCTCTTAGTGGATCAAACACCTTTTGTATGGCTTGGAGCCGTTTGTAGCTCAAGCCGTCTTTTGTCTTTTGAGTAGTTTTGGGGCGATTGCTCTCTTTTGTTTTTTCCAGCCCTCTTTTCTTTTCTTTTTGTTTAAATACCCACCTGGGCTGCGTACCGTACCGGTCACTCCTCTACAAAGGTGTAACAAAGGGCTGCTGTTTGCCACAGCCTCAAGTAGAGGAGTCTGCAGGTGTGCTAGGTTGGGTCTAATCAGCCCGAGGGCTTCTGGGAATTGGAGTTCCCTGAAGTTATGGCACTTCGTCGCCATCGCGCTCTACTGACAGCCAGCGGTTGCAGCCTGGGCACCTTGCTGCCGTCGCCCTCTGCTGGCAGCTGGCGGCGTAGGCTGGACCCTTACATATAAGGTGTGAATTATTTGGAAGTCATTGCCTTTTGCTTTTATGCATATTATGAACAACGTCCCAACGTTTTTTGTTTTTTCCTAAAAAAACAAAAAAAAAAACAAAAAAAACTCTGTTGTCTTTGATGCTACTCAAACTGCTGCTATAATATTATTGTATGTGGCTCCAAAGGGGAAGCCCTTTACACTGGTAACACTGTCCATTGCTAAATAAAAAAAAAAAAAGCCACTCATCAATCCATTAGGAACCTTGTTCATTTAACCTTTGTTTCTGAAGCAGCTGCAGTATTTTCCTGGAGCAGTCTCTTTAATAATATACACTGTTCCTCATTGCATACAAGATACAGGAAGTTTCTATCAGAATTTTGCATAGATGCTATCCAGCCAACTCAAATCATGCTAAATAAATAAATAAATAAATACACATTGCTTGCTCATTTTGCTAAACCTGTAAAGTGTCTATTGTCCACTTACTTTAGTGATGTAGATACTGTTTTGAATTTTGGATTGAGTTAAAGAATTTCATAAACAGAAATATTGACATTGTTATAAAGTAAAAAGCACTGAGCACATTTGCTTTGGGATATCTAACAATGATCAAGTTCTAGTAAAACTCACATTGTTATCCTTCTCTTAATATTATCAAAAGTTCATATTCATTCAAGCCTGTCTGGTAATAAATGATCAAACTTTACTGTGTTTAGAGCTTATAGGTGTACTGTGTTCATATATATTCGAACACTCAGGAACACTGTAGACATTAAATCCAGAAAGACTGTATTTGTTAAAGCTTCATTTATTTGCTGTAATGCGTCTTACATTTTTATTAAATTTTTTAGCACTGATTCGTTTTTGGTGTGTATTTTATTGTTTATTGTACTGTACTGCCTGAATGTGTACATTGATTAAAATTCGTATAGTAAATGATTGCAAAAGGTCTACAGTAGGTTCTAATAACTTTAGAACAAACTTATCACATAAACGTTTTTGTAAACTAAGCGTCACTGGCTTGTTTAATTTATTTATTTGCTTTAAGCTTTACCGAAACAGTTTCCCAATGGGAAGAAGTGTTGTGCCAATCATGACTGCTCAAAAACTGTGAACTGCGAGGGAGATGAGGATCGCTGCATTAACGGATCAGGTAAAGAAAATACCCTTTTTCACTGTAACCGTGAACTGCTTTATCCGCTCGACTGAATTATGCCTTTCTTCTTCAATAACACTGATGGAATAAATGGTAACACTTTCTATGAATACCATGCTTATGAGCTTTTCTAACACGGTGTAATGTATCCATAAGGCATTATAAACATGGCTATTAATATAATATAAAAATTACATTTTATTAGCATGTTTATTATGCATTATGAACTGTTAACATAATGCATTATAAGTAGTGTAAGTATAGAGTGCCAATGAAGTCAGTCCCAGCTTGCAGAGTGCAGTATGACCAACTAACCTGCTTCTAATTATAAACACACACAGAATTTACTCGCCATTATGGGTATAGATTGTTACTGACAGACATACACTATATTTCCAAAAGTATTCACTCACCCATCCAAATCATTGAATTCAGGTGCTCACCTCCATGGCCACAGCTGTATAAAACCAAGCACCTAGCCATGCAGACTGCTTCTACACACATTTGTGAAAGAATGGGTCGCTCTCAGGAGCTCAGTGAATTCAAGCATGGTGCCGTGATAGGATGCCACCTGTGCAACAAGTCCAGTCATGAAATTTCCTCACTACTAAATATTCCACAGTCAACTGTCAGTGGTATAATAACAAAGTGGAAGTGATTGGGAACGACAGCAACTCAGCCACGAAGTGGTCGGCCACGTAAAATGACAGAGCAGGGTCAGCGGATGCTGAGGCGCATAGTGTGCAGAGGTCGACAACTTTCAGAATCAATCGCTACAGACCTCCAAACTTCATATGGCCTTCAGATCAGCTCAAGAACAGCGTAGAGATCTTCATGGAATGGGTTCCATGGCCGAGCAGCTGCATCCAAGCCTTACATCACCAAGCGCAATGCAAAGCATCAAATGCAGTGGTGTAAAGCGCCGCCACTGGACTCTAGAGCAGTGGAGACGTGTTCTCTGGAGTGACCAATCACACTTCTCCTTCTGGCAATCCAATGGACAAGTCTGGGTTTGGCGGTTGCCAGGAGAACGGTTCTTGTCTGACTGCATTGTGTCAAGTGTAAAGTTTGGTGGAGGGGGATTATGGTGTGGGGTTGTTCTTCAGGAGTTGGGCTCGGCCCCTTAGTTCCAGTGAAAGGAACTCTTAATGATTCAGCAGACCAAGAGATTTTGAACAATTTCATGCTCCCAACTTTGTGGGAACAGTTTGGGGACGGCCCCTTCCTGTTCCAACATGACTGCGCACCAGTGCACAAAGCAAGGTCGGTGTGGAAGAACTTGACTGGCCTGCACAGAGTCTTGACCTCAGCCCGATAGAGCACCTTTGGGATGAATTAGAGCGGAGACTGCAAGCCAGGCCTTCTCGTCCAACACCAATGGGCCTGATCTCACAAATGGGCTTCTGGAAGAATGGTCAAAAATTCCCATAAACACACTCCTACCCCTTTGTGGAAAGCCTTCCCAGATAAGTTGAAGCTGTTATAGCTGCAAAGCGTGAGCCGACATCATATTAAGCCCTATGGATTAAGAATGGGATGTCACTCAAGTTCATATTCGTGTGAAGGCAGACGAGCGAATACTTTTGGAAATATAGTGTATGATATCATAACCCCTTTGTATGAGCTTCTTATATAAGTTGTATTTGTTGCATAGGCAGTCTTAGGCCTGGACCTTCAGCCTTTAAAGGCCTCAGGGAACCTAAATCTGTGTTTTCTTTACGTTAATCTTGTTCTTGCAGGTTGTAAACATAACAGTAAACATGTACTAGGTAAACCTTCTGAATAATGTTCTAATGACCAATAAATGACTGATATATCTCACCATATTTCCTCTCTACGCAAACTGGGCCTAATTTTGGGGAACGATTCCGTAAGCATTCCCCTGACCAATCATAATGTTGAAGTCCTTTGCCCCGCCTACACAAAACAGTTTCAGAGTCAGAGAAACCTATATAGCTAAGGCTAACCCCACATAACCAAAAGCTAGCAAGCTAGACCACCTGCATGTCACCCTTTCATTCATTTATCTATAACCACCATTGTTCCTTCTTCCATTCTTTAATTGCTTTATCTGTCTGTTTGTTCATCCATCTGTCCATCTGCACATCTGTTCATCCATTCCTTCGCGTGTTGCTTCACCGTTTGTTCGTTCATCCATCCGTCCATCTGCACGTCTATTCGTCTGTGACGAATCCAGTTACTGTCATTTAAAAGCTGGATAATGATTTTAGTTCTGTATGAGTAGCAGAGCAAGCTAGGAGTGTTGGACAGAGAGCTGTCAATCAAGCTGCTCATTAACCACGCCCACACAGTTCTCAGACAGGTCTAATCAGTGGGTTTTAAGCCGTGTTTTATCAGATTTATATTGTATCTTTTTGTCATTCAAGCTTTGCTGGATGTTTAATATAACCGTGAAGTTTAGTATCATACAAACATTTTGAATATTTTACTCAATATTTTAATGTGTTTCTTGGAAATTTAAGCCCTGAAGATTTTGATGCCAGCCCAGAATAACTTGTCCAGCACAGATTTGTTAATAGAATGTGCTTTTTTTCCATAACCACTGCTCTCAGTTTAAAAATTACATCACAGCAACCCAAGTACCCATCAGTCCCTCCCCTGAAGCCCCCTCTGACATCACACTCAGCATGAAGTGACTGTGGAGAGTGAGAGCCATCATCACTATTTGCTCCCTCACTGGTTCTAACATGAATCAGCTTTAACAGTTGCACACACAAAAAATCATAATAGTTTCCACTGAAACACTAAAACATTACTTAATTGCAGAAAATGTAAGTTCTGGTAGTGACAGTTCTTAATGTTACACTCTGGTTTTAAGAATTTGGGATACATTTACTTCTCACTTCCTGGCTAAAATAAGGTTCCCTCTATGGACTAAAAAAACAATTTCAAAACTATATTGAAAAAAAAAAGTATAAAACAAATATAAACGTTAGTTTCATAAGTTAAGGAGTTAAGTTAGGGATTAGGGTTTGGGACAGACAACTCCCGATGAAAAAGTATCATATAAATGATGATTTTCTATATATTTAGCTTATTACCATCTCTATTGATGCTTTGGATTTAAATAGATTGTTACATAATTCTTATAAATATGTAAAGTTTGAATCATTCATTATTTTTTTAGGTAATTCTTTTTTTTCATGGTGGAACTGAAGAAGGTTCTCATCCCTCTTGTTTTATCCCTCATTGCTCTCTAGCAGCTCAACCCAAAGTTGCAATATTTCACATACAGAGAGCCAACAGTGTCCAAGTTAATCTGATGGCAGTGCAAGGGAAAAAAAAACATATTTCATTTGACTTATTGAATATAAAAATACGCCAATTCAATTCAAACCACTAGTTTGGTCTGCAGAAAGACGCTACAGATTAAATCTAGCATTTCTACATCATGATATATAATGTCAGTTAACAGGGGATTCGGACATGTGACATCTGAGGAATCACTATTTTAAACAATTTTAAATATGCCTCTCTCTCTCTCTCTCTCTCTCTCTCTCTCTCTCTCTCTCTCAGTTATTCCATATGTTAAGGTGTCTCTGAAAGGATGTGCCAGCAAGAGCATCTGTGATGGGCTCGTGTCCATCACACGGCACTTTAATGTGACTGCGGATGTTAAGTGCTGTAAGGGGAACCTGTGTAACACTGCTATCAGCATTAATCTGAGTCTCCTCTTCATGCTGGGGTCTCTACTGGCCTCCATCCTCTTCCTCTGAACTATTTCAAGCCCTTTTCAGGAAATACTGAAACTAAAACATCAGCTTTTAATAGAAAATTTAAATTGCCATCATCTCCACTGCTGTCCAGTTTACTGATTAACATGTTTGCTGTAACTTCAGACTTTAACTTCAGGTTCTTCTTCAGAAATTCTTATCTGGGCCTTGAAGTGATCAGTTTAATGTGTTGCATAAAAGAACCTACACCTGTAAGTGTAATAAACCCAATAAACTGCATAAAGACTGTTGTAATCCTAATTTCTAATTTCTCTCATTTCTAATCTAAATCCCAGTTTATTAGCATTAAACTGTGTGAGATACTTCAGACTCTACAGCCCCCTCTGCTGTTGAGAGAAGTGAATAAGACCACATTCAGACTCAAGTAGAGGGGCTCAATCAGAGACATTCCCAACAGAGCTATTGTGCCACTGTACTCCAAACCCTAAGGCCTTAAAGACTGCAAATTGAGTTAGTTTAATGGTTTATGGGATTGTTTAAAACATAAACGTATCGCTGCTGTCGGAACAAAACCTCGTATCTCCATTTTTGTCATTTTTCAGTCTTTCACATAATTTGGAAATGCCTGCTGCCCTTTATATTGCATGTAAATTTCATGATGAAGGGACTAAAAGAAACAGCCCAAAATGACTTGGAAAAAGTCTGGTTCCATTGACTTCCATTAAAGCAAAGAAGGTTTTTTCCTTCTCCTGTAAAGTTACCATTTTGGAGATACGAGGTTTTCTTCCGACAACAGCGATATATACTATAAAGTTTGGGTGCCGCTGTTCAGATTACACACCCATAAAACATAACATATGCCCTGTGCAAACGTCATGGCATTTTTAATATGTTGTGTTTTCTTTATGCTGTTAAGCAAATAAAGAATACTGTGAGCTAAAGTTAGCAGGGAATGCCATATTTAGGTGTGTTTCATGCAGAGGAGGAGTTAATTTTCATTTTGCTGATTTTCATTTAGAAACTAAGCCAAACAAAATATATTATTTGACCAAGATTCAAAAGTGTTCAAAATTTTGCACATGGCTGTACATAAAACAAGAACAATGTGACTATGCATTACAATTTCCTCAGTGATATATCTTGATATAAGCAATAGGTCTTTACATCACACAACAACAAAAAAATAGTAAATAGAAATATGTAAAACTAACATTTAAAATGTGATACAAGCATCAAAGAACACATCACAAGCTGTTTCATTATTGTTGCATGTATTACAAATATGTAATTACACACATTTGAGGCATTTAATATGACATGACAGTGTTTTCTGACAGTATAAGAGACTTTTCGACCAGCATAACAATAATAATAATAATAATAATAATAAGAAGAAGAAGAAGAAGAAGAAGAAGAAGAAGAAGGAGTTGAAGACAAAGAAAAGGGAGAGCTTCATATTTACAGGTAGTAACAGTAACAAAATATAGAAGAAATATATAAAATATACAGTTACACAAATACACAAAATAGCTGCTAGCTTCTACTGGCAGATGTGACCATTACTTTTATGTTGTATGACCTTTTTTGTAATTGACATGACTTTTATGTTTGACCTTTGACTGTTTGAAGCCATCAATGCTGAACGGAAAAAATACTGACTCTTCTTATTAAGTTACTATAGAAGTACTTTAGATGATTCAAGACTGTTTTCTTCTGAAAATACATGAGTGATGGAAAACTGTCTCTTGTTTTGGCTCAGAATGGGCGTATGTGAATGAGGGGCCAGAATTCACACTAATTATACTATCATAAAATGCCAATAACTTAGAAATGGGTGAATTTTGAATGAACAAATGTTGATAGAACAGAATTCAGAACCATTAGCCTACTGTGTTTGCACACAGAGGAATTAGACCTCCACATTTAACCCATCCGTGCAGTGAAACACCCACATACCTGCACACTAGTGCAAGTTTGCTAACTGTATATGTTATGCATTTTTTCCATATTATATTACTGTTACTGATGATGTTTCAGACATTTTTGTTTGAGCAGGTGATCAGACTGGGACTTTATATATAAGCTATTACACTTAAGTCTAAGTTTCCACTGATTGCCACTACCATACAATACCATGCAAAAATAAACCCATGGAAAACAGTGTATACATGTAGTTTCTGCACCACTTTCAAATATTTAACAGATGCAGGAGGAAACAGAGTCCAGTTGTTTCCATCTAAGGGGGCTGCAGTGTTGCGTGATGGCACTGCAATGAAAAGGTGCCTGAACACATTTACCTAAAACCAGAATAAGACTGAAACCACAGGAAACAAACTGCATAACAAAAGCACTATGTACTCTAGTAGACATGTATATGTAAATAAAGAGGACTTATGCTTTCAGGTTAGAACAGTCCATAGAAATAACTCTCCTGGATGCAATAATGCCTTGGACCACACATTGAAATTGCCTTAAACAGTACCTTAAAAACATGGTGATATTTTTAATTGTGTGTTTTATAAGCTGACTATGCAACTTTTATATACAATAACAACTTATACAGTGTAGGTTTCAGTATTAAAAAGTAGATAACAAAATGTATCACTGGGTTTCCTATTCTAAATTCCAATTTTACATGATAAATTATATACTTTAATGATCTGTTTACAAAAAAATTGACAGGAAATTATCATTGTTTTTTTTTGTTTTGTTTTTTTTTACTGCCTTTTCAAAAATGTTTACAGCTTTTTTGAGAGACGTCTAGAGGGCAGAAATTTCATGAACTTTGTGCCAAAGGTGGAAATTTAAGTTTAATGGAAATGAAATAAACAATACTCAGCAACTCAATGTCTTTTGTTTATAAACTTCTTTTTTATATCTGGTTTTGAAAGGTGTTACTGCAAACACAGGCATCCTAGAGCAGTTAGATCCTGCTGAGGTTCATGGCTGTTTCTTCTCTAAGGCAACTTACTCCTTAATAGCGCCCCTTGCTGGAGAAACTGCAGACTGCAAAGCAAGATTTCTAAGGCATGTCCAGTTGATTTGAGAAATTAGATGTTTTCCATCAATTCAGCCAAGGACCTCTGGAATTCAGATTTACATGACTTTGGGAATCCATGATGTATTACATTTTCATGATTCTACATATTTTTAAGTGTAATATTTAATATTATTTGATAGGCCACATGAAATTAAATTAGGCTGCTAGTTCTCTGTCAGTTCTCTTTCCCCACATGGTGATTAGAGCCTTTGAAGAATCATCAGCATTATTATGTAAATTTAAGAGCAGAAATAAGATGGAAAATTATATATACAAAACACCTTCTTTTTTGTTTTGGTTTGTGTTTTTGGTCAAGAAGTTCAATTTTAGTGTATTATTATTAATAACCACATTGAATGTTATTATATCTTACTGAAACTCCAACAGCTGTGCTGTTTCTCTCCTATACCAAAGCCATCATTTTTCCAGTTTAGATGCATAAATACAACAAAACTTAATTGTGATATTGCTACTGATTTTTGCAGCATCTCAGCTCTGCAGCTTTAAGGGCACAGTTAGGAATTCAAATACTACTCTAGACAATGATCTACTGTACATATATTTTGGTATACTTTGATAGATGAAGAGACAAAGTTGCAAGAAATCAAGCCTTATTAAGCTAAATGGCTTAACAGGCAATAGTCTAATTGGAATTTGAGCAAATGGGAACTGAAATGGAGCACTTGGACTAAATAAGTCAGGGGGCTACAGCAGGGGGAGCCCTCACTACAGTAATAACTCTTTATATTTCTCCATATGCTTCATATACTTCTCTTTCCACTGTCACTTTCACTTACCCACTTACCTGTCCTTATAAATCTGCCAATGTACTGACTCATTTTCTCTCCTCTCTTTTTTCATGAGTGTCTCTACATTAACATTCAGATTTTTTTTTTCTTCTTTCAGGCCTCATTCAAAATGAGGTTGTTCTGCTGGATACCAGAGATAATGCAAACCCAGTTTTTCTGCTTTCAATTGATGAAAACCTGAAAATGGTACAAATGTCCCCACATGAATTGTTAAATTGGTGCATTATTGAAAGTAGACCTGGCCTTTCATGTTCTGACTCACTGAAGACGTGCTTAGCCCTTATGTTTCATTGTATCCCAGTCAAATTATAAGTTCCATCTCCAGAAGGAAGATGTTCCATGTTTTGTAAAGGAGCAGCGACAGAAAACAATGGCACTGCTGACCTCACACATTAGCACACAGTAGACGGTTCCATCAAGAGGTTACATTTCCTAACTTTTGAAGTCAGGTCGCAGCAAAGGAACGAATCACTATTAGATGCCGATGATTCATTGCCATGTGTTCAAGCGCTTCATACGACAGAACACTAAATAACACAGATCCCACATTATGGGAAACATTTACACTGCTGCACACTATCTTGGGTCACGTACAACAGTGCCAATATAAAATTGCAGCATGATTCATCTCACAAAGAGGTTGATGAATTGATAATGATATGATTCAGGCGTGTTACAGAGTAAAATATGGAAATACCAGCTTAGATCAAAGCTCATGCTACCTCAGTCACTACTCCCTCATCTCAGTAGTCCTTACTCTACAATGAGGCACAGACATGTATTACCACCCAAAAGTCAGAGACCACCCTTCATTTATTTCCAGTCAAAACAGCCTTTAAGTGCAAGTTATTCATTTTTCAGCATCAGACAAAAAGCAGAACATAGTAATATTTAACAGACAATCATCAACAATGAAATATAATGAGTTGAAAGATTCACACCCCAACCAAACACATTTCTGTTTGTGTTGTTGTTCCTGTTCTTTACCGCAGCCGCATAGCAAAGTTAGATGAGTGATGCTAAAGAGGAACCAGAAGGTGGCAGAGGAAATACAGTTAACCCCTTAAAAGCTCAACCAGTTTGCATTGAGGTCCCTGTAGTTACTGAATAATAAGCATTAGTGTGTAATAAGCCTGTGATTTTAAGGGCTTAAAGGTAAGAGTGAGTTTATGTAGGTCCTGTTCACACACTGGCCTTTTCTCCAAGAGACTATGGTTGGAGTTAAATAGTCCTGCTTTGGATTCTCAGTATGGTAAATGAACAATAGCATATCACTCAAATTCAGAAACAATGTATCAAATCTTACAAAAACTAATAAAACCTGCAACAAAAACTCCCAAAGGTGTAAAGTAACTGTGCTAAAATACATGCATAAATATACTTGTTCTAGAATATCG